TATTTTCGAATCGTTTTTAGTGATTTAGTTTCCAATCGCAAAATAACGAATTTCACTGTTTTAATTTGAAATTTTCGCCAAAATACGACTTCTTGAATCAATTCTAATGATAGTTAATTACAACCTTATTTCCAGGAGAGTGGCAAATAAAACATATCATGTGTTTATTTTGGTTTACATATGTGTCTCTCTTGAAATTAATAAAAATGATTAAATAGGTTCCTAGAAAAGTAATTCAATTGATTAAGCAGTGATTTGCGTGAAAACAACAGTTTTCAAGAAAACGTCAAGAGATTGAATAACGAGATGTACCGCCATAAGAGAACGTTCGAGCGGCAGTGTAAAATCACGCCCTCTCTCGGTGTATAGCGTGTAGCAACACATAGCGCAAAATAGAGTTTTTCTCCGCCTAATTACAGTGGCGGCGTCGGGGGGCGATCGGCTCCTGAAAATGTTGGGGCGTTGCCACCAACAAATCAAGCTGAAACCCTTTGTGTCAACAAAATTTGTTCTCAAAATGCAGGAAATAACGTTTCAGAAAGTCTAGACTTCAACAATTTCCCTGGGAAGCATGCCCAACGACCCCCCCCCCCTAGTGAGGTCGCACGAGGGAAGATGAGCATACCCCCTCCCCCGATGCAAAATTTCGTGCCGTCGCCTCTGAGTTAGCAGGTTTTCTTCAGTTATTTCCGGTTATTATCATAGCTTACTTGACTGTTTCACAGTTATTCGCATTCATCATGGTCTGACATGATAAACGTCCGGGAAATTGAACACATGACATGGCGGAGTGCAGAGGCCATCAGCAAGGTAACGATGCCAGTGTAGCTCGAACAATATAGTACCATATATATTCTGTCGTGACTAATTAATACAAAAAAGGTGACCACCAATGTCAATGACAATAATTTGAAGTTGCATTCGTTCTTTATCTGATCTTATCTGATCTGTGGAGACTCCTTACTGATCCCTAGCCTAGTTAGTGTAAGCTTAATTACAAGAAAGATTAAGGTAGAAGTCACGGTCTACTCATATTTTTGGAGAAATTTGGTCATAAATCGCATGACAATGTTCATTGGTTTATTATGTAAAATCATG